CAGAAGGGTTTGGGAGAGACCTTGTTTCCCCTAGCGCCCCCTGGCATAACAAGGAATAACGGCCATAAGTTGTTGGAGAGTAGGTTTATATTAGACATCTGTAAGAACTACTTCACTGTCAGGGTGGCTAGGATCTGGAACCAACTTCCAAGGGAAGTGGTACTGGCTCCTACCCTGGGGGTCTTTAAGAAGAGGCTTGATGCCTACCTGGCTGGAGTCATTTGAGCCCAGTTTTTCTCCTGCCTAGGGAGGGGGTCGGACTTGAATATCTACAAGGTCCCTCCCAACCCTACTTCTATGATTCTATGATTTGTCACCCTTCACATTTCTAAATTTTCACATTTATTTCCTAAAGGTAGTTTTTGAGAGAAGGATATGGTGAGCCTTCTATAAATCAGGCTAAAATTCTGATCTGAACTGTAGCTTTTAAATCTACCACAAAAATGACATCTGAACAGTCAAAATTAACAATGTTTTAACTTCTTCTTTTTAAAGCTCATGGTAGGCTTTTCTTTTTTTCTAACTTGCTCCTAGTTAACTTTTGTTTTATAATTATCAAGTCAAAGATGAGGAACATCAATAAAACAGTACTATCTAAAAATGGTATTTAAACACAGCATTATGCTTGTAACTTCCCCACAGAATTAATCTAAAACCTGAAATGGTAGTGGAAGAATGAGCCTGATCCTGTAGACCAGGGGTGACCAGAGTTACTCACCCTGGGAGCCACATCTGATCCTCCACTGAAGTTCAAGAGCCAGAGAGCGGAGGATGGGGGGTGGGGGTGGGGGAGTGCTGATTGATCTGGAGTGGAGGTGACCCCCCACCCCCAATCACCAAGCCTCTCCAGCTTTCCCTGCAGGAAGCACACCCCAGGGTAAGTGGTGCAGCTGGAACCCCTGGCAGCCCGGTGTCAGGCTGCGCTGTCCCCTGTAGCGGCCTCAGGGGAAAGTGTGCAGGACTTCAGCCAATTTTCAGAGAGCCTCAAGTACCATGCTGGTCTTTGGTCACTGGGGCTGTAGACTTAAATGGATGTGCTCAACTTTACTTCCATGACTACCCTCCTAGTTGAAAAGTTAAGAAACATGCCTATTTTTGCAGGGTTGGGGCCATATTCAAATGTGTTTAACAGAGCTTATTAGGAGAACCCCAGGAAGTATTCACCCAAATAATTATAAAATACCATATAACATTTTATGTTATTTTATGATTATATGGGTGAATGTTACCTGGGGTTCTCCTATATATACACATATATATTACATGCACACTTCCCACATTATGAAACTAGTGCTAAGTAATTGATTTTTTTTGTTTAGTGTTTAATTTTGTTTTGTTCACTTGGACAAAAGTCTTCAAATATAAAAAACTTTATTATTATACTAAACATCAGTAAAGCAGGGCCAAATATAGGAGGTGAGGGTGTGTATTACAACTAAGACCAATTAAATGGATGTATTAAAGCCTTCTATACCACTTTCAGGTGTAATCAAGCGCACTGGTGCACACCTGGAATTAATGGGGGTTGTAGGTATACACAGCCTGTAACCATCAAGCCATAAAAGTAGCTAATAACAATATCCCTCAAAAGAAGTCCACGTGTCCTAGCAGTACTAAACCTGTGGAGTGAACTTTCATCTTTAGCTTTTTACAGTAGTTTGGGTTTGATGAAATATGAAGGAAAATGGATTCTGCCTCATTCAAATAGTCCAAGTTTGAGATAGTTCAACAACAAAAAGTACATTTTTCTGTTAAAGTTTAATTATGATTTAACCCTGCTGCCTCTATAAATCTGAAATCAATATCGTTGTACTGCTACTTGATTTTCATACGTTAAGATAGAGAAGTTAATAAAGTGCATCCAACTCACTTAATACAGACTGATGAAAATGAGATTTTTCTCTTGCTGGCTTCCTCTGGAACATCCACCTAGTAATAAGGCAATGTCAAAAAATAAATTTTAAAAAAATCAATGGATGTTAAAAATGACAGTGGCATAAGCTTACTAATTCAACTTCAATGTTAGGACATTCTCTGTTCAAATTAGTCAAGTTACTGTGCCAACTATATCATCCACCTGGTGCTATGTACTCACTGCAGCATTCTGAACCATGACTATTTGTACACCGTTTGTTGTGGTACATCCATTTGATTCTGTGATGCCAATGACCCATCATCATTGCTATTCAGTGTCATGGAAACGAACAGCCACATTTCATATTTTAGATTACTAACAGCCTGTTGTAATAGCAAGTTTTCTTTGTTGTATGCTTGACTGACAGAAAATGGGCCTGAATTCTACTGCATGCCGTTGCCTTTGGCTCCAGACTCATAATTGATATTGTAGTCTATTATCTGCTAGCACAATTCACAATAGAAAAGATTATTGTTTAGACATATCCTATCTGGGCTCTGCCATCTGTATCCAAACAAACAAATAAGTCTCAAATTGTACTTCAGTGCACATGCAAAACCAGAATTTAAAGAAAGATTAGGTATGAAAAATGTCTTTTAGCCAATTTGTTGCTGTACATGATGTGCCAGCCATGGAGAACCTACATAAATGTTTTTGTTTGAATTAAAAAAATATATAATCCTAACTAGCCTATAATATTGCATGGTATGCAATTCACTGCAATTATGTTTTTGTCATGATATTGCTGTGGGGATTATGCATAACTTTTGTGGTTTAGAGAATTCAGTTGTGGCTCTAGCTCTGCCACTACTCACTGAGTGTTTCTACACATGCAATGAATACACACAAATAAACTCTGGATTTTTTTGCTCCTGGGCATACTGGAGCATATTGCTCCATAGTTTATTTGTGTGTAGCACATGGAGCCCAGTCAGAATAGCCCAGGCTGGCAGGGAACCTAGCAGAGGTCAACATGCCAACCCAGGGCTGCTCCAACAATGCTCCACGTGCTATGGAGGGGCTGGCTGAGGCATGAGGGTGCTTCAGCGTGGGGCTAGTTGGCTAGTCCCATGCTGAGGCACCATGTACCCCAGCCCCTCCCGGGCAGCGTCTACATGTGTGCTGCTGCACATGAAAAAACTCTGCAGCAGGTTAGGACTTGTAGATACAAGTCCTTACCTGCTGCATGCAGAGTTTTAGTTTTGTGTGCCCTAATAGGAGCACACGTGTAGATGCTGAGATGTTTACTATGCAGTTAATAAGCAACTGCATAGTAAATGCCTTGCGTAGACGTGTCCCCTATGTACCTGATCTAACTCCCATAAAAGTTAATGCAAGTCTTTTCACTGGACTCCCACGGAAAATGGATTGGGCCATGCTTGGGGAAAATACCTACCCAAACAAGGGCAAAATGACAATTAATTACTTTAAGTTCCAATAATACTAAGTATTACTAGTGGAGGGCTGGCAATCATGCTGAGATCCAGTTATGAGAAGGAAACACAACAGACCTTTGGTCTGGACTAAATTACTGATCCTGTTTCTTGGTTTTCTATAAAATACTCTCTTCCTCACTGGTTTGTTGTTTTCATTTCCAAACAGGGAAGAAAATTTTAGTATTACAACGTAACTCACTTTTAAAAATAAAACAACATTAAACATTATCACACAGAAAAAAACAACCCTGACATTTTGAATTGGAGTATCTCAAGGACATGCTTCTCTACCCTGGATTAGTTAGGTACTATATCCTAGAGTAATTCTAACAGTTTCTGTATTCTCTCATAAAATAAACCAAAAACAGATTTACTGGCTTTGATGAAGCTGTGCCTGTTTGTACCAATGCTGAATTTAGCCCATGTTTTACTCCACTACTCCAAATACATCTTTGTTTTGTAAATAAGCCATCAGTAGAAAGAGCTTGTATATTAATTAAGATTTCCTTGGAAGCATGTAGAAGCTGAAGTGTCTCATCTATTCAAGTAAAATATCTAAGCATTTATTCTGTGCATGAGTACACCAGGCAACATCCCACTATTCCACGCCATTAAATTACTTTTTATTCAGTAATAGTGCTCAAAACCCACTAAACCGTGTCATGAAAATCCACTAAGTCAGAGCACCTATGATAAAGCTCTTGTGATGGGTAAACATCCACCCATTTTTTTTTCTGTAGCAGTAATTTTCAGGCTCTTCTGACCTGCACTATTTAGACTGAATCTTCAGATGCTCAGAAAACTATGCTTTCTGCCTCCTTTCCATTCCCTCCCTGGGGTACTTCAGCATGACTACAAATTGTACAGATTTATAATGGTCCATTTAGCTGCCTGCCTCCTGATGCCACTCTAGGTTTCCTTCCGTTTCAGGTTAATCCTCACATGTCCATTTAGGGCAGTTTCACTTTCTGTAATGAATGGCCATGGGCCCAATTCAACTCTGGATAGTGGTGTGAGATCTATTAGCCTACTTGCAGTTTCCTGCTGTTGTGTTGCTCTTCCTCTGCAGGGAGCCAGTCCAGGTAAGATGGTAATCTGGATAAGATCAAGGTTAGAGCATTTCCAAACACTAGCTGTAAACAGAAGCTTATGGAGCAGGTGCACATTGGAGCTGGGCTTGGAAGGTGAATTGTGGAACATATTCTTCATGACATACAAAAGCAAGACAGAATTTTTTAACTTAAAGCATTATTTTAAAAGAATTAGTTAATATGATGCAAAAGGTTGTAAGAACACTGCTTTTTTGGTTTAGATTAGGTGGATTTCAAAGAAACATGAGCTAAACCAAAAGGCACGTGTCCACACAGCATTTTACGCTTGTGTAGATGAGACCCATTAGGTTCAAATGGCCATTTACAGTGCTTTAACTAAACCAGTTAAAAAAAAAAAAAATCACACCTTAAGGCCCAAATCAAATCCATCTTTTGCCAGGTAAACAGCATTGAGGCACTTATGCAGATTTTAGATTCTACTTCCCATGGAAGGTGCATAACTTGCAGAAAAACGCTACCTCCACACAAACCATCGCCAGTTGTATTATTTCAGGGACTTGCACAGTTACTTGCCTTCCTGGATGGAACATGATTGCAACAGAATGTAAATGACTGAAATAGATCTCAGTGTGCACTGAAGGACAAAGCGAGTCGAGCAGCAAAGATATGTAAAAATGCACGTAAGTGGCCTGAAATGCCTTTTGAGATGCCAAATTTTAACTGTCAGTGCTACCTTTCCACCTAAAGTGGAGCTGGCTTTAAGCTGGATTTTCCACATAGACAAAGCCACAGAAATGCCCAAATGTACATGCTGGAATAGTGACAGGGCTGAAAACAGAATTTAAAATTTTCTGGCTTTCTTGAACAGTGGTCCTACCTACAGAGTGATTGAAAGGAAGCAAGCATTGTTGCACAACTTCTTCCCTGGCACTTGTTTTTACTATTACAGAAAAACTTTAACATGTAGTTGATTTTTCTTTTGGCTATATTTTGGTGACAAGTTTCCTTTATTTTTCCCCCCCAAATTGTCTAGAGCATAACCGTTTATCTACCATACAAGTTTTAAAACATACTTCAGTGCTAATAAGCTATGCCAGGGTGTACATCATAGGAGCCTTGAAGTCTACCAAATACACTCAATCAATTTTAATATATACACCTGTTAGGGCTCACTGCTTTATAATAGCTATGAGAAATAATCTTCTCTGTAACAGCAGGGAATCGCCCATGGGAGTGTCCAGGTGAAAGAGAACTGACTCTGATAATGGCCATGATTCTCTCACTTGACTTGAAATCAGCATGAAAATAGCATCCATAATACCTAGACTAAACAGATTTCTAATACTGCACAAACAAATCGATACCTCTGCTGAGCTACTGAAGCAAAATTTATCTGGATACCAAGTGGAATAACATACACAGAAGAGGGTGTTAAATTAGGACTGAAATGTGTAAAAACATTGGAATTCACTATATTTCAATGAAAAGAGCCAACATACAATCACTTTAACAAAGCTGGCAGGAAATATTCCTGTGCGAGCCCCACATTTCCCTCTGTACCACTCCTTATCAATTTTCTCCAGAAGAGAAATGCTCTCTCCAGAATGGAGGTCCAAATCGTCAGCATGCTCTGTAAGACAGCATCATTTCAGTTAGTCACTGTTGTATACAGGGAGTTTCTTAATAACCTCTTACTAAGCTACATACTGTAAGCAGAAATTGTATAGTTATGCAGCTTGCTTGACACGTTAACTTTAACTAAAAACTTAGCCCACGCTAAAACAATGGATGTCAATACCCATGCATTCAAGGGAAGTTCATATCCAATTTTAGCAGCTTGGGCACTGCTATTATATCTCATTTCAAACTCCTCTGAAAAGTAAAAACCACCCTCACGTTTAAAAACATTTCCAAACCAAAGAAGAAGAAGAGGAGTGGGAAGCTGAAAAAAATGTGAAAATTAGTCCCACCAAAATATTGGTTTTTATTATTTCTCTGTACTCACCTGCAGGGAAATCATGCAGCACTATGGCACGAGGAGCACTCGTGTCACAAACCGTCAGACTACTGTTTGGACCCTTACAAAAACAAACAAACAAAAAAAACTAACTCATCTCACAAGCAATTGAAAACTGGTGAAAGATATTAACATGGACTATTATTCTATTATTAATTCTGAAATGCATTTGCCTGGTTTTGGAGACAATTTCATCATGGTGTAGAAAGCCAAATGTTTAAAAGAAGGTGACCATTATAAAAAAAAAAAACAAGCTTGACTTAGAATTATATACATCAGAAGAAATGTCATTGAAATCAATGAAGCAACACTAGCCAAGAAATGTGAGAGTAGAATTGGCCAATGCATCCCCAGTGGAAAATGCATCTCTCATTTCTGGAGTATCTGTTGTACTGGGGGTGGGGGAAGGGTTCCTGACTGCATTAGCACAGTTTACATTTTCTGCAGTCCAATTCATCATCTGGAAATTGTTGCCACATTATTCAAATGGCATCTCTTTCCTATGCTCCTTAAAATCTACAGGATATTTCTGAGGAGATGAGGAGAACTGTGATTGGAGGAGCATGGAGAAACAGAGCTGGGACTCTCATCAAATGCACATAAGGAGATACATAGCTTGATGAAGCCATCAGAGTTGCATCTCTACAGGTACACAGATTAAGCCACAATGGTTACCTTCACCAAATTTCAGAAATACATTGTAAAAAGCGTTGCCTCCTCAACAGCTGACTGAAATGGCTGTGTGTTTTGATACAACGTGGCAAGTATAACTTAGGTGGCCCCAAAGGAAGTAGCAGTAGCATTATGTGCATCAGAGAGAAGGGACCTGTTGTTTAATTCTCCCCCAGGGCTCAGTCTCAGAATGTCCTCAGCAAGCCTTTGTTTACAAGAAAATGATACTAGAAATGATACTAGAATGGCTACTTTATAGGGGAAATAAAATCACAAAAGCTGACTTATATGTTTCCCAGGCTGGGCTGTTGGAGGACTGACAATGAGGACTGTTAGATAATTGTTTTGTTTCAACACAGTTCAACCGAATTGTAAAAATCCATAACGTGAATATAGTAACAAGGCTAAAGGATGTGAATTACAATGTATAGATTTATAAATTTTACATATATATTCTAGTTATTGAGGGGTCATATATTCAAAGTTATCTTATATTTGAGTAAATACAGTATAAAAATGCAATAAATGAGAAATACTTTAATCAAATCTATATAAGGCTAAAAACTCAAGGTTACTATTATTTATAATAATGATAGTTCTTAATATTCATTATAAATGTGCGCCCTCAAAAGCACTAAGCACATATAAGAAAGCATAATTCCTGAATGTAAGAGCTTTCCCTTGAAAATGTCTTAACTGCTTGTGCTGATGTGTTATCCACAGTACATTACACAATTAAATTCTTACCTTTTGCCTGCTTTTCAGATGCTCAGTCTAAGGGAGTGATTATTTTCATATGAGACAAGTGAACTTTACCAGTTTCCTCTCCCTTTTGGCACTCAAAGTAATTGCTGTCGGTCTGTTCCACCAGCACAAGTACATCCAAAACAATATTGTTTTGGAAGCAAAGAGATTTAATAAATGGATATTACATTGTTCAGAGTGTAACCTTTACAGCCTGAAGCACTCGATGTTTAACATAATAAGTGACTAATGATTTAGTGCATATCTGCAAAGAGAGGGAGGGAAAAATTGCCTTACCTTAGAGGAGAGTTCTCCAGGGTTTCTGGGAATGAAATCCTCCTTGGCAATTGCACGAGGCACAGCCGGTTTCTATAGAAATCAAGGCAAATTATTCAAATCAAATGATTTCTTTAACTACTAAATACCAAAATGAAAAACTATTAATAGGGTGATACATAGTAATATAGAAAGCACCTGCCCTTTTGTTCTTTGCACTTGGGTCACTGGATAAACAATTTAAGAAAAGATTTTCAAAGACAAAGACAGCAGATATATACGCCTACAGCCTACTGAAGTAACCAAGAATTTAACCCTGACTTAACATTTATGCTTTGAAAATCTCACAAGTCAAAACTAGCTCTGGTTGTAAAGAGTTAGGAACCAAGAGTCCTCTCCCTTATCTCACTTCAGTCCCTGCTCAGTCTAGAGTGAAGCTTCCATTCCTTGGAGAAAACAGCACAAACATGCTAAGGGGGGGGTAGCAACAGCCTTTCCCCTCTATGGCAAAGGTCAGTGCTCACTCCCAAGGTACAGTTCTCAGAATTCCCCCTTCCACAATACAGCTGCTTGTACCCCACCCTGTGATGCCGCTGTGTCTAAAAGTTGTGACTGATCCCTAAATAGTTTCCTTGCTGAGCATTAAACAGTTGAGTAAAGTGTATAGAAATCTATCACCTCACACACTAGAGCAGGTGTGTCAAAAACATACAGCCTATGGGCCGGATCTAGCCCATGGGACTGTGGCAGAATGCCATCTCTCTTTCTCCCCAAACTCTGCTATCTGGCAATTGACAAATCTCTGACAATTTGGTTACCAGGGTCACTGCAAAAGGCAGACTCCTCTGCCCCATCTCTTCAGGTAACCCTGAGTTGTAACCTGAGCTGGATACATTCCTGAGGGAGGGGGGAAACCTGCTCCCTCTGCCTACCTGGCTGGCATCACATACCTGGGTGAGGGGCTTAAGCTCCCGATTGTTTTAAGCAGTGCCAACCTGACTGGGAGGGGGCTAGAAACCCTGCCAGTCTACCCAGCAACCAGTGATGCATTTCAAATTGGTTGGTTGGCAGCCAACAGTTGCTAGCCTTCACTGGATCAGGTAAATGAAGTCATAAGGGCTATATAAGTGAAGGACTGCCCAAGACTGGGGGCAGTAAACATGATAAACTCAGGAGAGAAGGTGGACTATCTGAAACTCTCTCTTGAAACTCATGATCAGTGAACTGCCTGCCCCCAGAGGGAATCTCCACCGGCCTCTGGATGATACTCATGAGTAAGCTACCTGAGATCTAACTAGATATATAGCTTGCAGTAACACAGATGCATAATCAAAGACTACCATGCCACTTTGCTGTAAGGGATTTCTCTGATATTGCTCTACCCTGTACCCTATTCCAAACCTACTCCTTGTAACCAATAAAGTTCTCCTCTGTACCTAGCATGGGAGACTTACTGGGAGAGGGTCTAGATTATGCCTTGGGGTCCTCTTGGTTCAACTGACTAAGGGAGACCACTATTTGTGCTTCAGACTGAGGGAAGCACCCCAAGTTCTTGTAGTGGGTCAAGTAAGTACCCTCAAGGATTAATAGGCCTGTTTCCCAAGGGCACAGGTCCAGGATCATTCCAGATTCTGGGTGGTGGTAGCGCTACCCCCAGGCTAGCGGGTGTGCTCCAGGAAGAGGGTCAGCCCCCAGGGAGGCACTCGGAGCCTGGAAGGTGGTCCGGCGCAATCAGGAGCACCCCGTACTGGTCCACCACAGGGACCATTCCAGCTGAGTATGAGTGAGAGCTGTATAGATATAGCCCTTGCTTGCTCCACTGCTGTCTACCCCAACAAGATCCTTGCTGCAGCCCACTATTGGACCTGCTCAGCCACCAATTTCCTCACTGCTCTGCTGCCTGCCCCTGAACCTGTACCACCATAGAATCTCAACCTGTGCCACCGCCTGAATGAGGACTTGCACCACTGGACCCGGGATCAGCCCAGGAGGAGCTTTTGTGGTCTGGATCCAGCCCCAGCCCTGGGGTGAGTTTAACACCCCTGTACTGGGGAGCTGCTTCTCTAGGACCTTGCTTTATAGTTAGTCCTAAGACATTAGCAATTTGTATATTCAGGAAAAGATTTGTTTGGTTATTTTCCTTTTATCCTTCATTTCTTTCCTTTATGCTAACAGCCTTCAGAGAAACCATGCTGTGTATTAAGAACAAGAAATACAATAACAAAGAGAGAGAAGGCTGATGCAACGAACAGTCCTTGACAGACAGTTCTGTTCTTGTCCATCATCAAGCAATGCCTGGTAGTAGGATAATGGCAGTTCTGATCCTGATTCTGTCACAGATTTCACTCAGTTGCTTCATTTAGGTACAGCTTGTTACTGAATCAGTAAAATGGGAATTATAATGCTTATCAAACTTTGTTAAGTACTCCGAAACACATAGGTAAAGCATAATGTGTAGCATTATATTATTATGGTAGGTCTAAAATTATTAATGCATATCTCAGAATATTACTAAAGAAAGTCTTATAAACCAGGTATTATACAGAAATCACTAGTTTGCCTTTCTTAGTGATTTTGAATTCAAAATTGTAGGTTTAGCTAACATAAGTGGCTAAGATACTGGGTACTATCCCTGCTTAGGCAAGCACTTCCATTAGGAACACTCAGACTATTTTCCATTCGCTGCTAATCCATGTCTTATCTAAAGATAAGTTATTTGGCACAGTTTTAAAAAAATATTTAAAAAATATTTTAGCAGCACATTTTTAGTGATGGATACACTTTACATGTAAATAATAAACTTCCTCTATACTTTGTTTTGGATTCCACTGTATTTACATACAAAAGTTGGGTAAATTATCTCAGTTCTCACCATATATTTATTGTAGAGAGGATGTCCAGGTTTAGGTCGAGGAGGTAATACTGGATCTTGACTTTTTAAGACTTGACTCTTTGACCTCTTAATTCCCAATCCAAATTTTCCTGTTTTTTTAGGGTGTATCACATCAGATGAGGATCGGCAAAAGGGGTCTTTTTGTGAAGAGGAGGTCTTTGTCCCAGAGAGTTTTGGAGGAAGTGGCCTTCCAGGAATACCTTTAGGTGGAGGAGGTCGAGCTGGTATGATTTTTGCATCTACAGGCCTAGAAATTGGGTTGAACCATCAAAAAAATACACATTTAAATAAGCCTGTGCCCCTAACCTCTGAGACAGCTTCAGATGCAGAGCATTCAATAGGGAAATCTATTTGACTGAGACACGAGAAACAATATAATTGAATATGGATTATCTGAAGTGCTCTGGAGGCACTTGAAATTTACTTATGATTGGAGGGATTGAATAATAAAGGAAATCTCCTCATTAGAGCTCCCAGGTGGCTAACCTGTTCTGATTTCAGACAACCATCTGGTTTCCCCAAAGCTTAATAACTGTGTAGAACAGTGATTCTCAGGTTAGGGTGTTGTGACCCTGAGATTCTTTCAAGGGTGCTGCTGTGAACTTCCTGAGTTCTTTGCAACAGAAAAACTGCTCTATTTTTCCGTAGTAAAAAAAGAGTGAAAACTAAGACCTGGCATTTTCTACTGTGTGTCTTGAATCTAAAAAGACTAGTAAGAACCACTGGTGCAGGACTTCAGATAAGCTGTGCTCAGTTAAAGACTTGTTTGAAGCTACCTTGGGCTGAACTTCTTTGGATGAGGAGCTTTAGTGGAAGTCCTAGACAGCCTTGCTGATCCAGCCTGAGTCATTTATTGGGATTTCACACATCTGAAACCTCCTGCCAGACCCCAACTAAAGCTATGATTCCACTGTCATTACTTTGAATGATGACATTATTAGATAATGAAATCATATGCCACTTTTCTGGAAACAATGACAGGTTAATATGTGGATATCTCTACTCTACTATTATAAACACTGTATTATTATGTGCGTTTCCTCTACTTTTTTTTAGAGTAGTATATTCACTCAACACAAACAGCTAGTTACTAGTGCGAGTTCTTGAAGGATCAATAAAAATAAGACAGCAATAAAGTCTTAGTAGTCTTTTTGTGTATACTCCTGCTATGTTCAGTGTCTTCAACAACTTGAGAAAAGGACTAATAGCTCATTAATGCACTCACTATGAGTGCCCTAGTGCTTAGTCCTTAGAGTATGAGCTCCAATTTTACATCTTCCACTCTGAAAAGCAGCCTATTAAAAGGGTAAACTGTATTATGTTAAAGTTTTCCCTGTTATTTTGAATGTATTTACTGTTTCCTGTTTTTTCCTATCCTTTCTAGGCTTTCCTTATTTTTCCAGGGTTTCCTGGTCCTTTACATCCTCACCTAGTGCCTCAGAAATCCAACACTTCTAACAGATGTTAACAGCTCTACAACCTTCTACAACTCGCACACACATCTTTTAAAGAAAGTACGTGTGTAAAATATGCGCACCCAGAGTTAAAAGCGATTTTTCCGCCCATATTGAGCTTTTCCTTCCTCATGCCCAATTCTCCCCAAAATTAAGCTTTTACATCTGAAACAAGAGCAGAAGTCCCATTTGAAGCATTCGAAATGTAAAACAGAATAGCTCATTCTTTTATGAGGACAGATTAACAGACAGATCACCAAATTATTATTCCTTGCACCTCTTTGATCAACTCAAGCAGAAAGAGAATGGACAGAATTTCTACCTGCTTAGGTCATAACTAAGGAACACCAGGGACAGGTCACGGGAGCTCAAAAACTAAACATGGGCCAAATGACATAAAAACAGGAACAATGAGTCATTTCATCCAATTGCTAGGGTAAACAATGTTCTCAAGATCACTCCCACTGCAATTACTCCTATAACATAAGGAGATGCACTTAACCTTCAAAACTAAAACAGAACTGTATCATATGATAACTTACGCTGAGCAAATCTCAGACGCCTAAAATTGTCATTTAGACTTTCTCTCACCTGGGGGGCAGCACTGGTGCTGTCCGAGAAGTTCTTACACAATCTGAATGTTCAGATTCCTAAGGAAAAAAAACCCATAAAAATACTATTTCACTTATACATGGCACAAGAAGTTATTTAAAAATATGTTTTTAAAATTCAAATTACAGAAGCAGAGAAGAACATCAAATCAGGACAGAAATATTACAAACAAAAATTATTTAATATAGCACCATTCAAACTAATATTCAATAAGAGCCAGGAGATGAATTCAAGAAAGGGGCAAAAATAAAAAATAAAAAAGAAATCATAATATGAGATTCCTCAGGCTGAGAGATAAAATATCAATGAGTTGTAGAAGCACCATCACAAGGAACATTTTGGAAGTAAGCCAGTACAAGAAAGAAAATTTTGTATGAAAAAAAAATCTGTATGGGAGATAAACTAGATTAGTTTTTCTCATTGCTTCAAAGCTGGCAAATCTTAGTTCAAGTATGAAAAAATTGATGACCCTATACATTTGTTATAGGGATAACAAAATGTGACAATAAACCACTGATAAACCCATGTAAATAATTTGTGCAGAGGCTCACAGAGTACTGGGAGAGCAAAGGGATGCTGAGAGCTGGATACATAGAGGATTTTTGCTTTGGACTATAATAACATTTTCATGACTTCCCTGAATATTTTTGTGACACTCCATAGGTGACTCACCAGTTGAAAACTCCAAATTAAACTCCTGATTTAAAAAAAAAAATCTTTCTGATTTCTAATACGATAATTATTCTGTGAACAAAAACCACTAAAAGCCTATATTCCAGGACACTATATTTCCTTATCCCAAAATGTGTCTTCCTAGAGCTTGTAGCACTAAAAAGCCCTCCCATTTTTAAAACACAGACCTCTGGCTGGTTAAATTACTCATTTTATTATTCCCCAAAGCCAAGGCAGCAGAGCACTCCTTCAGGGAAAGAGCAAGATTTTTTTTGGTTGTGGTAACCTAAACTGCGAGGGAAGTTTAGGTTAGATATTAGGAAAATTTTCTTAGGATAGTAAAGCACTGGAACATGTTACTCAGGTTGTGGAATCTCCATCCTAGGAGGTTTTTAAGACAAAGTGTTGGTTGGGATGATCTAGTTGGGGATGGTCCTGCTTTGAGCAAGGGGTTGGACCAGATGACCTCATGGAGTCCCTTCCAACCCTAATTTTCTATGGTTCTACGTTTTTAAAGATCTTGTTGAATGTGATGGAAGACAACAGTTCAACTAACCATCATAGCTCAGCAACTTCTGTGCAATCAGCTACAGGCCAAACCTCCTTTCCCATTACTTATTTTAAAGTGAAGGCATAAGGGCCAAATTCAGGCCAGGCATAAAGCTGTAAGGATTCACTGGCTAAAATGCTGCTGATGAACCTGGCTCCAGGTTGCTTTCTAGTTTGTATTATACTTGACTGATGAGAGAGACTTATCCTTAATCAAGCACTATGTATTGCATGCTGCGGAAATAGCATTAATCCTGATTCTCACTTCATTTTTCATTTCTAACCCACATACTTTGATTATTTGCTGCTGAAGGAATACCTCTACAGCTTTTGGGTTTGTATTTTTGCTGCCACTGACTATGAGGCTTTGCATATATTACTAGGATATAGGAATTCCATAACCGCCAATGCTTTCTCTACCATTTCTTGTACAAGTGAAGTACCTGTATGGGCCTTGTGATTTAATTTCTTTTCTGCATGGGCCTTGTGATTTAATTTCTTTTCTGCTCATTATTTTAGCTGCTGTCTCCGCCATTCTTGCCAAACAGAGTTGGAAGTTTTACTGCCATTTTCTTAGCATTTTCAAAGTACTACTACAGTAAATCAAAAAGCCAAAGGAGAAGAATCGCCATTTTCTCAGACCTCCAATACTAGCTAATGCTACCAGGAGTTCATTGGTCACAAGTAAGATGTGGAAGATCTCATTTGAGAAGAGATTTGTTTAGCTCTAAAAACAAATATAGGAAAATATCTGCATACTGCAACTAGAGGCATGGGGACGACAAACGGGTACATAAAAAGGCTGCACTGCCAAGCACCCCTTTTATGAAGTTCCAGGTGGGGATTTTGCATCTAGTAAATCAAAAGGTAATTATGATTAAAAAATCAAACTGTCTTCCAGCATGGAGGCGCCTCAAACATTAGAAATAATAAAGTTGAAGAAAAACGTAATTTAAAATAAACTTCAATCCCCTCAAACAACTCATTTCACAATGGACAGGTGTTCATAACAGCCAATCTAGTTTGCCAACCAAAAGATGTAATACAGGAAAATAATGGCAACTTACCACTTTTTTTGTTTGCTCAACATTATTGGGTTTCCCGGCTGCAATCTCAGAAGTATTCCCAATAGGCTTTTCAGCAGGAAGTGGTGGAGGAATGTGAAGAACTTCATTTAAAGCTAGAAAAAATATTAAACTGAATGAGTTTAGAGATCAACAGGGAATGAAGGAGAGAGATGTGTAAATTATCAAAATTGATTCCCTTTCAATTCTTTGTGAACACAAGTCCCTCGGCCTCTTCCGGAAAGGTTTGAACAGGAACACTGAAAAATACTTGCAAGAAAGGACTTTTTTGAAGATCCTTGTGGGAGCGTTCCCATTTTGTATAACTGATCACTCTTAGAACAAGAGCGATTTCCAAGCTGTGTAACAGGTAGCAGAGACAGGTCACTACTGAGATCTCAGATGAGTTACCACTATATGTTGGATCAGAATTTCTGGTAGTCCCCCATGTCCTTCCTCAGGCTCAGGGAAAATTAAAGATGATAATTTTAGTTTCAATCCAAAATTGGCTAAAATTCGGCATCTTCCATGAAGTTTATTTCCTACCTATGAGGACTTTTTACCATCTTTAATTTTCCCTGAGTTCTAGAGTTTTTCATTTCTTTTTGTCTCAGACCAACACAGCTATCAAATACATCCCTGAAACATGGAAGACACCAAATTTTAGCCAATTTTGAATTAAACCTCAATGCTGAACAACAAGAAAGATTTCTACACCTCCCTGCCTTCCAGCCATTTGACACCACCAGGGAAGGAATCCTGCCTTATCTGTACATCAAAGAGCAACTCACAAAGACACCCTCATGGACCCAGAGGAACAGACTTCCACCTTCAGTTCTCTCTGTACAAAAAATGAAGTTTATTTTCTATGTATAGGAACTTTTTACCATCTTTAATTTTCCCTGAACCTGAGGGTGTGTGCACCTGAAAGCTTGCAGAAAAAGATAATTTTTGCAATTTCTTAGTTGGTCTAATAAAAGGTATTATCTCTGAACCAAGAGTTCTAGAGTTTTGCATTTCTTTGCGTCTCAGACCAACACCACTACCAAATACATCCCTGAATCAAGCTGGTTGTCTATTTTAAATCTAAGAGCCTAGGTTTCTGCAAAGGTTTCAGTATGACAACAAAGGGTAAAAACAGATGCTAGGTGTATCCCAGGTCTTACTGGCCCACGTTTGACTTGTATCAAAGCAGCCAAGGGACAGTCATATAGGCTAAAAACAGATGTTGGATTTCTCCTGGGACAAAACCTTTTATCCCAAGTTCCTACAGCTATACAATCACACAGTCCCACTTTGAGTACCTAGGAAGTACAAAACAGTACTTTCCCCCCAGGGCTATTTGGCTAATTCAAGTTAACTGCCATGCAAGCTGTGCCCCCACCTCCCCTTGATGAGAGTCAAGGCCTGGGACAATCAGACTTTGATCAACCCTGTTTTTATGGTTTACACCTGCAGCCTGAATGGGAATTAACTCAACTCCAATACGCCCCTAACTGGAGGAAGTGGGTGGGGTGGAAGAGGGATGGGGGGGCAGCATTATCTTGGATACTTCACTGGTACTTGAAGTGGGAAAATGGGCTTGTATGCCTGTAAGATCCCAGGAAAAAAAGGCTTGGTCTCAAAAGAAATCTGATTTCTGGTTTTAGCCAAGAGAGTCAGATCCACTGAGGGACCCAATAGCTTCACAGTTTATTCTGCTTCCTGGGAACCCCAGTTCTTCCGCTTGGACTCCAAATCTCTCCTAGTTGCAGTCTCCTATGAAGTAACCCATCACATCTGTCTGCCAACAGTAGTTCAGTACCGCGCAACTGACAGCCCCTTGAGGGAAAGTCCATTGCCACCAGAGAGCAGCAAGAGATTATTTATTACTTGTTTGGCAGGGCAAAAGGGAATTCATTTTTTTTTTAAAGTCTGCCTGGGCATGATTATTAAATTAAAGGAAGAAAATGAAGGCCTGATCTCATTCTACCTATTAGGCACCTAAGTATATGTAGGCACTGAAAAGCTTACTCCACTGTGCTTCAGTCCCCAAGAAAACATGAACATTAGGATTACTATATTTCCAGGATCAAAGAAGAGAACACCTGTCAGGGGGAGGGGGAGGAGCTGGCAGGGGGTGGGTATATGATTGTGGGAGGCAGGGTAGTGATATGCCTGTGCCGTGCCTCTGCCCCTCACTCCTAAGCCCCTGCCCCCCAGCCCTGCTAGTGCCCCTCACTCCTGACCTGCAGCCCCCTGCCCCCCCAGTGCTGCCATTGCCCCTCACTCCTGACCCAGAGTCCCCTGTTCCCACAGCCCTGCTGCCCACGCAGCTCCTGTGCAAGCAAACACATACATTTGTTCTCTCTCTATCTTACTTGCCAGGGCCCACATGCAGAACACGTGACCCCTGACAGCTAATCACCTTGCCTGCTGCTCCCAGCCCCAAGCATCCAAGCTGCTTGTGCCTGGGAAAAGCAGAGGCAAAGCAAAAACCCGGACATTTGCTCCCATTTTAAAAACCCGCCTGGACACAAGGATGGTGTCAAAAAAGGGGACATGTCCAGGAAAACCTGGATGTACGGTAACCCTAAACATGCCTAATTTTGTAGAACACCTCCATCTTAATCTTAAGAGTAAGTTACAAAGAGCAGCCATCAGGATACCCATCCATCTTGGGTTTCCTGGTTTAGAGGAGTCCAAACAGGTGCATTTAGAATCTGGCTCTTAGAATGGGACAGCCTTCCTATACAGAATGTGACTGGCCACTACCATTAGACTATTTCCTATAGGTGACAGTATACAAGGCCTTGCAAACCAGAAAGTTTAGCACATACATCCAAATCTAAGTAAGAAGGTGTTTTTCCTAGTAGATTTACATACGACTAGAAGGAGCTTCCTAGATCACTGATCCCAGTCTCTGAATCACCAAAATTGCTACTTTAAACCCTCACACACAACCAGAAAACAAAATAGCTGAAATGACAAGTACCGTATAACAGCATTTTGAACCTGGGGTCCACATATTATGTTTAAGGGGTCTGTAAAAGATGACTATGTTCAATCAAAAGTATGTGAATACCCACACCTACAATTCAAAAGGGTCTGCACCTCCATTCAAAATTTCCAAAGGGGTCTGCACCTCCATCAGCAATGTCAACTGTTGCAAAACCATTGTGAGACTTGGGATTTCAAAGTTAAAATAACAGAGTGGGGCAGGAGCAGGGGCTGGGATGAATGGAGCCCTGGGGCTGGTGTGGGTGGGCTCATCTAGAGGCGTGGAGCAGGGCTGGAGACAGGCTGAGACTGTTTTCTGATCTCTGCTGCCTTGCTCCAGGAGCTCAGCTGCATGACCCCAGTATGCCTCCTGCCACTGGGGGTGCAGGGGATGTGCTGTGTGGTCAGCGCTTCCCATGTCCCCTGCCAGCCCAGCAGGTGGCAATGGCATTGCGCAGCTGAGCTCCTGGGGCAAGACAGCAGAGCACAGAGCCCCATCCCACAGCAGGCAGCCCACCTGTGCCCCGTGGGGGGCACGTGCCTGCCTCCATGCCCCCCCCCAGGGGTGTGTACTTCTGTGGGGGGCTGTGCCCCTGCCCCGCACCTCTAGACAACCCACCCTGGCCCCAAGGCCCCATTCACCCCTGCTCCTGCCTCTCTCCTTCTCTCACCATGGGGGCCTTGATCTGCCCGCCAACAACGTCTTTTCCCTCTCCCTGCCCGCCGCTTTCCATCCACTTACCAGCTGGGTGCTGTCTGTGTCTCTGCTCCTCACTCCCAATCCAGAGCCCGCCCAGTCCTGCTGCTGCTTCT